GCAGCCTCTGTAGCTCAAGGCTTGCATGGAGCTTGCCCTGGTGCTTTGCGGCTCTTGCTGCTGTGCTCTGGGAGGGAAGGGTTTATATTCACCTGGCACATCAGCTTTCCCCGTGCTGGATGGGTGCTTTAGTCCTCCCTGCTTTTTAACACCCGAAGGTATTTATTTTTATTTTTTTTTCTTGTGTTGCATAGCCCTTTTCGCTGTGTGTGTTGACAAGGGCTGTATGCAAGGCAGTTCTCTTCTCTCTCTCCCATGCACAGCTATAATTTTATATCTCTGAAGGTGAATCCTATCGATTAGCTTTGTGAGGGAGCAGCAAAAAAATCCCAGATACTCAGCTGTATCCACCTCGGTGTGGTCTATGTCCATGTTTAACCTTCCTTCAGCTTTTTTTTGCAGCCTGCCCACGTGTTCTCCCATATGTGCAGTGCTCAGATTATTGCAGAAAGTGGAGAATCAGAAAATCTGCCTGGATTGCGTTATGCAATAGTTGAGCGGCTAGCGGTGAATAAGCAGATCCATCTGATCATGAGTGACTCTGAAGGGCACCTCTTATTTTTTTTTCCTGCATGTGGACAGAGGAGATTGCTTGCTGATTGGGTCAGGTGCTTGCCTTGTGTGTGGGTGCTGATTGGTAGGAATTGATTTTCCATGCATATTGGCACAGGAAGGTAGCTTAAAGAGCAAAACCCCATACTGAAACAGTTTTCTTGGGTAGGAGAGCGAGGCTGTTTAATATGACTTGAATTGATGTAGTGAAGTCACCTTGGAGCCCTTTGTTTTGTGTAGAAGAGAAAATAATTCTAGCAGTTCCCTCAAGGTGGGAAGTAATCCCATCTGGGAACACGTCAGTATGTGCTGCATCATGAGGAGGATGACTTTGGAAATGAAAATCAGTGCTTGGTTTAATTTGGAGCCAATTCACCCCCCCCCAGCCCTGCAAGCAAGTGTAACCACACTGTGCACTGGGTTTGAACTTAACCTGTGGTGCTGTGGGACATGAACCGTAAGTCCTTAGGAGGCACCAAGAGGTTTTTGTTTCTGCATGGCTTCTGTGTCTGCACGTCGAGCTTGGACGTGGCCTCGGGTTACGTTTGTTCTGCAAAACAGTGTCAGGGCAGAGCAGGTGAGAAGAGTCCTCGGGATGCTGTAGTTAGGGCTGTAGACTTGGGGATCTGAGTTTGTGTTCAGCCAGAAGAGCTTCCTTCTGCATAACACGCAACCCCAGCAATAAGGTAGGTAGTGAATATCTCAGGGTTGCTGCCCGCTCTCCCTGGTCAGGGACCATATCTCCATCCCATAAGGAACTCCATCATCGACGCTTTCTGAGAGCAACTCTAGGCTGTGCCTCTAAACCTCCCTGGAGACCCCGGGACTGCTGTGTTGTGATGTGTTCCTCGGCGAGCCACGTGCAGCCAAGGTTTCGCTCTCCCGCTGCATCAGCGTGTGGAGCGGGGCCAGGAGGTTTAGGAAGCTCCTCACCGGCATGGGGTGGCTTTTGCAGGTGCTGTGTATCAACCGTGTGGAAAGCCAGGGATTCGCAGTACCCCTGCCCCTGTGACACGGTGGGGCTACCACCGTGCTCAGCGCCACAGAGAAGCAAGAAACGTGCAAACTGCCTCGAGCCTTTCAGGAAGGTGGGGAGATGCTCCTGGCGTTCGTGGGAATGGTCTTGCACTCGCCAGGCTGGTGGTGTGTGCCTTCGTGAAAGCTTCCAGTGCTCAGCGGCTGATGACTTATTTAGCTTTAAAGATGTGACTTGATTTTAAAATCTCGGAAAAGCGGTGGCCGGCGATCGCTTTTGGACTTCAATGCATTTGTGGAGGTGTCATGAGGGACCTGAGATTTGGGAGGAGTTGTGCAACAGGGTGATGGGAGGGAGGCTGCTGGTGGTGGAAAAAAGGGAATAACTGGGAATGCCCTGATAAAATGTGAATGGAGATGAGGGGCAGAGACTTGGCGTTGCCATGTGAGGATCAGCAAAGACCACCTGGGCCTGGAGGTGCTGTAGTTTTAGGAGCAAACAGCTGGATCAAGAAATGTTGGGTAAAGAAACAAGAAGTGGAGAAAAATAGTGGAAGGGTGATGGAGAGACAGACAGATGTGGGACTTGGAGCAGAGCGATAGTAATGGGTGGTTCAGGGCTGTGACCAGGGGTGGTTTTCTGCTTCTGGAGTCTGAAGCAGCCTTGTGCATCTGGGGGGGAGGTCGTCTTAGTGTTAGGTGCTTTATCATGCAACAAACAGCCATCAAGCCTTTAAAACCAGTTGGAAATAAGTGTGCTTCTCCCCCTTGCTTGTTTGGAAAATACTTGAAGTGACAAGGTTGAACTTACTTAAACACTTGGGTGCATGAGGAGCACAGGTTCTTCACTAGACCTTGTGTTCTGAGTTATTTCACTGCCCTGAGCAAATGGTTTTGGGAGGGTCATCCTCATGCATGGACGGTTACAAGCTGTTCTATAAAGTGAGGCGGCTGATGAGGAGGTATGATGAGGTAGGAGCCTGTCCTGCCACTGAATCTGGTGGTTCTCTGTACCCCGGGGCGTTTCAAACAGGTGTCAGTCCACAGGAACGGAGGAATGACGGACCCGGGGGAACGTTCCTGGGTAAGGACTGTGCTGCTTGGCTGGGGCAAAGGAAAGGAGCGGGTAATTCCTACAAATGACTGCAATTTCTCCTGCTATTGCAACTCAATGAGCAACTACATAGTAATGTATTTTGCTGAAATACCAGCAGAATCCGTGCAGTGACTGTCTGACATCTATCCAATTCCAACATGTCTTAATGCGAGGAAAAGCGTAGGAGAAAGGATTCTGGAAATGACTTGGACAAGAGGCATTTAAAAGTACACGAGGCTTATTTATCCTATGATAGGGTTGTCCTGCTCCCATCTGTTTCCCCCAGGGTGGTCACCTGGACTTAGAGGGATTTACAGTCTTTAAAACTCTCTTAGGAACTTTGACTGCTTATGTGGGTGAAAATGGTGACCGTGCTGGGCCAGATTAAACTGTGCCGTGGGACGGGATAGCTGGCAGCAGAAGGGAGGAAAACATGGAGGAACGGAATTTTCCAAGTGTTAAGGATGTCTGTTCCACATCAGCTCTTTAATGAACTTGGTAGTATGGACAAGCTGGGAAGGAAGTCACCTTGCTGCGCGGCGTAAATGCGAGGTGGTAAGTGGTTTGTGGGTGCTGGGGGGAAGAGGGAACATCTGTGGACCCAGAAGTGGTCTAGTGGCAAGTGTGCTTATTGTAGTCCTGCTGTCAGGGATGGGTAGGCAGTGAGGTAGGAGGAGAGGGTGCTGGGCAGTGGGAAGGTTGTCAGGGTGGGTGAGGAATGAGGTTTGAAAGTATGCGGCAGAGCTGAGCAGGATGGGAAAGGGGATGGACAAAATAAAAGTAAAAAAACTGGAGGAAAGTAAAAGCAGGATGGTAAAAGATGGAAAAATATAATGAGGATCAAGGAAAACACTCATTGTTTCCTCCTGTCCGAAGGTCCTGGCTTCCAGGTGCTGCTTGGCCCCTCCTGGCTGGAGGGACGGGGGGGTTCCAGCCTCCGTGCCCCCCCGGCTGGAGAACGTGCAGCCCCCGGGATGGGAGCGGGGGCCGGGGGCTGTGTGTGTGCCCCGGTGTTGGTGGGGTCGTGCGGCGTCGGGGACGCTGTCGGCCGTGCCTGCGCTGGCTGGCCTGAGCGTGTCAGCTGGGCTGGTGGGAAACCTTGAGGACCTGCCGGCTCGATGCTTGTGGAGCTGTTTTAGGCATCTGCAATGCAGCAGTGGGTGTAGAGGCAGTTTGGGGACTACTTTGGCCTTTAAGAACCTAGTCTCTGTGACATTTTTTTTAAAAAAGTGACTTTGGCTGCTTCTGAAAACGCTATGTTAAGTCATGTTTTAAGAAGTAGCTGTTGGTTTCTGTGTGGCTCTTCCACAGCTTGCACGCCCTGACAAGACAAAGTGTCTCTGTGTGTTCACGAGGGCAGCTCTCAGCTGGCGCGGTACCTGCTGCCGCCTTGGTGAGCAGGCAGCGTGGGACCAGCTCCTCTCCTGGGATGCAAAGGCTGGTGAGGGGAAAGAGGAAAGCTAATAAATAAAAAAAAAAAACTTAAGCTATCATTTCAGTTTTTGGTTAAAGTAAAAGCCCACGAATTGTGAAGAATATCTGAAGATGCGATAGCCGCTCTCTCACGACAGAGTAGCGGCTGTCGCGGATGCTGGAGGGGTCATCGATTTGAAGCAGCCTGCTGTGCCTTGTCCCTGGCTGGGGCCAGCAGGTCTGTGGTGTGGGGCAGGGGTGTGCTGTGCTCTCCTACAGGCTGGGGGGCTTTGACCCCTGGCCATGAAGTCCTGGCTGTGGCTGTCAGCAGTGGGATGGTCCTGGGTTAAGGCTGCGGCTGGGCGGATTCCCCCTGGTATGCCCAGCTGGGGTGGGAGGAGAGCTGGTGCTTTGGGAAGTTAGCCCCAGGAAAGCCTTCTGCTCAGCTGGTTGAGCCTGGTGAGGTATTAAGCAATTTTGCTGCCAGGAAAGGTGTTTTTACAGCTGAAGAGGAATTGTGCTGCTTTCATTTGCCTTACAAATGGAGATCTTTGAATGCAAGATCTTATCACACCTAGCAAAAGACAATGATTGAAGGGAGAGGATGTGAAGAGCCACAGAATACTAGATGCTGGAGGTAGGATAGCAGGGAGAAGGGAGAAAAACAACAGTGCAAATGTGACAAGGAATACCAGCAGTGTGCAGCTGGTAACTTTTAGGGAGAGCGGAAGCAATCAGCGCAGCAGGATTCATACAAGGGAACAAGCTCGATCCAAACGCTGCAGCCTTGCCCTCATTTTTTTGTTTGAGGAGCTTGTCTAGCTTTGGTGGCTGTGACGGGCTTGCTGCCTGCTCGGGGTGTTTGTGTGGGTCCCTGCTGCACGGGCGGGTGCATTGGTGGTATTTTGGGGACAGGCTGGGTGCAGGGGGACTGACGCTTCCTTTTCCCTCTGTTCCCATGCAGGACACAAGCGGAAATGGCCCACACGTGTCGCGGGACCATCAACCTGTCCACGGCTCATATCGATACGGAGGATTCTTGTAACATTGTGCTTTCCAACGGGGGAAGGACGTACCACTTAAAGGCTAACTCAGAAGTGGAGAGGCAGCGCTGGGTCACGGCCCTGGAGCTGGCCAAAGCAAAAGCCATCCGCATGAGGAACAACCAGTCAGGTAGAGTGTGTCTGAGGGTGTGAACGTGCAACTGGATCCTTTTTAAAACCTCCTGGTAATCCAGCGCTTCTGTGCTTGCTAAATTGTGCAGAAACCCTGGCAGATACTATTTCATACGCAGTTAAAAATAGCTGATGGTTTCACAGAGACACAAAGGGGTTTAGACAATACTCTGTGCACCAAACATCATCTCATCTGGTCGTGCAGCATTGAGCGGGTCTTTAAAGCCCCTGGTGATGGCTGTAAATTGTAGAGGGCCGGTAAAAATGAACTGATGATGCTTCTTCTGGAAGGCAAGGATGTATGTGCCTTGAGCCTGGAGACTTCGGGTTGGTCCGTGCGGGTGGGGAATGCTGTCAGAGGCACTAAGTGCAGCGGTGAGTGGCACACCAGCGATCACCAATTCACCACGCAGTGCCAGAGCTGTGTCCTCCTATTCACCCATAGCTTAGGATAGTTTGTTAAATGTACATTTAGTTAAGCTGGGCCCTCTCTGTGCTTATTTTCCTTCTCCCCCCTACACACTGTGGTGTGGTGTGGTATTTATTAGTGTACGTTTGGGACAGCTGCATTATGTAATGCTGCCAGAACGCTGTGCCTGTTACGCAGCTCATCCCCAGAGTGTCATTTTTACTGCTCTGTTGTGTAATGGGATCAGTTAGGTGCTTAACAGAGTATTTTAGAAATATTTTAGTGCTCATAGCTCTTCTGGGATTAACAGCTGATTTTCTTCCACAAACAAGCATGACTTCAAGTTGCAGGAAACAAAATCCACGAACGTATTAAAAAGCTGGCTGTCTCCTCTGTCCTAAAATAAAACCACTCTCAGATCTTGTCTTGAATGCTGGAAATCAGGCCTTATGCAAGAGAAAAGATGTGGCAAACACCTGCTTTTGTAACGCTCTGTTTAAAATGAAAATGTAGTTTCAGAAAATGCCCCAAATATATTTTAGGAAGGCAGCATGTGGAGGCAAGACCAGGGAAGAGTGCTTTGGTTCTTTGCTTATGTATCGTGTCTCTGTCCTGGTTCCTGGTCCAGGTTTGGGCTTTGGGACACCTGCAGGTGCTGCTCTGTGCTCCTGACTGCAGTGAATTTGCATCCATGGGTAAAGAGTTCGTGAACCTTAGCTTTCACATCACCACCGAGAAAGGTTGGGGTCGGGTCGGTGCACGAAGAAAAACCTCTGCTTCCCCAGGGGAAACGCTGCTGTGCGCTCACCCAAAACCACAGCGCGCCGTGGCGCGACTGCGGGGCGCAGCGCGCCGTGGCAGCGGCGGTCGAGGCTGTGTGGACGGAGGCAGCCTTCTAATGGGCTTAGGGAAAAGACACAGTCGGCATAAAATTAGTGTAACCACAGTTTTGGAAGGCAGCGCGTTAATGTTTGTGTTTGTGTACCCGTGGGACGGTCATTTGGGATGTTGGCTGCCGGGGGCGTTGTGCAGGCAGAGCCTGTGCTTGGCGTGATGTTTTGCAGAGAGCAGCGGAATGCCAGAGCACCAGTGGTTTGACTTGCAGGAGAATAAGCCCCGAGCCCTGAACTAACGTGGTCTGACTTTTGCCTGATTAGCCATCCTACAGGGTCACGCAGAAGTTGATCAGTGCGCGAGCCACTTACCCGTTTCCCATAATTGTTTTAAGTGTGCTGTGTTCAGGGCACTAGCGTTTAATTACCTAAAGTATTGTGAACTCTCTGTCCCTTGATATTGCAGCTCTGGAGCCGTATGTAGATACTGATGGAGAATACAGCTGACTGAGGAGAAGAGGGAAGTTTCTAGGCACGCTTGTTTTGCCTGGCAGAGCGTGACGTTGTGGCAGGTCATGGCTGCAGTGAGCTGGGCGTGACGGCCGTCGGTCCTGCGAGCACCCCTTACCCCATAGCGGGGAGCGAGCCCTGTAGCTGGGTAGGTGTTTGGAGAAGGATCTCGCGTGTGGGAGAGGTTGGTGTGTGCCTTTGCCTTCACCTTTCCGAATGTCAGGCCCTGGGCGGTGCGAGGGCAGGTGTGGAGCACCCAGGCAGGGCTCTGCCGGGCCCCCGCCCAGCCCGGGGCTGCCGGAGGACGGCAGCGATGCTGCCTCCCGAGTCACGCGCGGTTATTTTGGTTTGTGTCTTTACATAAAAATAGCAAATGCAGAGGCTTCCTGTCTTAAGGCTCTGGACGTGCTGACTTCCTCACTCCGGCGAGCTCAGGCCGTCCTTCCCGGGTAAGGGCAGTGCAGCAGCAGCGCTGATTTGGCTGCGGGTGCTCGTTCCTGCGCTGCCTCAGCTGTTTGTGGGGCAGTGCTGTGATCTGGGCCAAGGGAGCTGATGGGGAAATAAAAACCAAACCAAACTCTTGTTTTTTTTTTCCAGGCTTTTCTGATCTGGTCCGAAGGATGAGACACTCTGTAAACAGGCGCTGAGTCCTTGTGCTGTGGAGTTAGAGCTGAGGACATGGATGAATTACTTTACGCTTTAATCTTCGCCTGGCTGATGGTGTTTCATCCCAATTATAGATCTTTTAATTAAGATAAAGAACAAATGTTTTTTAGGTTTGACTGTTTTGCTTGAATCAAAATGAAATTCCTAGCATTGAGTGCCCGTGAGTGCCAGGCGTTGTGCAGAGCCCTGGGGTGGGTGTTTACAAGTGGAGGGAGGAGGCTCTGGATTTGCTGAAGAAATCCCTTGGCCCTTCAGATCTGTTCATGTGGGGAGTCTTCTGAGTTGACTCCTCTTATCCTGAGCGATCCCCAAAACCTGTGTGTTTCCCAGGGCTGCTCTGCAGAGCCCAGGTCGATGCACTGGGGCAGTCTTGGCTGGTGGGCGTGAAGGGTGGCGAGCAGCCGTATGGATTTCTGCCGACAAGGAGCGAGCATCGATGGCTCTGGGAGCCCAGAAGACTCGGGGGAGGGCATTGCAGGGGGCAGGGGAGGAGGACAGCGAGGCAGGTTTGTGCCTAACGCTGCCTGCCCTGCTGGGGACACATCCTTACGGCGCTGCCCTGCCCGCCGCGGGGGGATGTGGCAGGAGCCCGGCCTCGGCGTTCCCCTCCGGTGCTCAGGGACGTGGGGTGGAACATCTGGAGAGGAGATGGTTGGGTTCACGTCAGCTGCTGCTGAGGTGCTTCCAGCTACCAGCGCCGCGGCAGTCCCACCTGCAGCTTTTCGGCTCCCTATAGTTTTTGGCAGGCAAGGAGCACCCAGGAGAGAGGGAAGGGAGGGGGGGGTGTCCTTGCTTTGTGGTGCTCTGAGGGCCTTTGGAGCCCTTCTCTGCTTGGGTCTGGAAAGGGACAATGTGCTAGTGTGGTATTAATGAATTTAAAAAAAAACCAAAACCAAAACAAACAAAAAAAAACCAAACAAAAACAAACAAAAACCCCCAAACCAAACAAAACCCAACCAACCAAAACCCAAAAATAAACCAAAACAAACAAAAAACAAAACAAACAAACCCAGAAAGCCAACAAAAAGCTTGATCTCTTTTTGGAAATCTTCTAAAGATGAGCCAGACTTGGATCACCACTGAAAATAAAAGACGCTTGAATGTAAGCTGAGGTTCTCCATTCATTTGTGTTTTCTGCAGAATTTGGTGGTCCCCTGCTGCTTTCCTGGTGTTTGAGATTTGATGGGGCGCAGGACTGGTAAATAGGGTTAACTCTGCAAATATTTTGACTACGGGGAGACTATTTTGGGGTGGGTGAAAAGAGTCTGTTCCCCCAGTAGTTCTCTTGAAATAAACAGGTACAAAAGTGTTTTTAACTTGACTGCTAGCTAGCTCGAGCTGTGCACTGAGATGCCATTTTCACAGGACTGATTTTCATTTCTATTTTTAAGAAACAGCAAAAACTATACCCAAACCAAGTATGAGATGGGAGACTTTGCTGTTCCCTCTTGTGTGTAACTGAAGGAGCTCTGGTTTCCCCTCCACCCGGTGGCTAGCTGGGACTATTTTGGTAATGAGCTGTGAGCTGGGGCATGAGTAAGTTCTGCCAGATGTCACCTGAGAAAGCTCGCTGTCCTCATCCTGCCTCACTGGTGAGAAACCTGCTTAGTGATACTGGGTGGATTAGGGGCAGAAAGTGAGAGTAGAGCTGAGCTGCTGTCTCGGTGCTCTCCTCGATTACCATGTGTTTCTTCAGTCCTCTAAAATAAATGTATAGTGCAACATTAGGCCAGAAGGGTCCCATACCTGGCTGGACAGCTTGCCTCTAGCCTCTGCTAAGCCAAATCTGACATTCCTATTTCCAGTTGGGTTTATAGACTGTTGCTGAAGTCGTAGTAAGCCTGATTTGCCCGATGGTACCCAGCTCCGTCACCCCATGAAAAAAGCAGGGGTGGGCTGTGCTCGCATTGGTGCTTGGGGTGGCCCTGTGCTGGTTACCTGTCCTGAAGATCACTTTTCTGTAATTGGTCTCTGTTTGCGTTACTGCAAGCTCATGAATAATTGCAGCGTTCTCTGCTCTCCATCTTGTACCCACATCACCCCTTGGATTTTGGCAGCTCATGCATCAGCCTCTCGACAACTTCAACTTTCCAGAGTGGCAACAGAATGCTTTTATCTGCTCCTTATGCTCAGTATTCTCTCTGCAGTTGTGGTTTGGAGGATGTGAACTTAAACACATTTAGTGACGGGGGTTAATATATGCTTTTTATGGCAGTAAAAATATTCTTTCTTTTTACGTCAGTATCATGAGATACAGGAATTAGTTATGTGAATGGTGTATATATGAGAATTACTTTTTTGGCTATGTGATTGGGAGGGAGTGTCTTTGGAAAAGCCTGCAAGGGGAGGATAGAAATCCATTGCTGGTGTTTTAAACACCAGGTATTGTGTTGGAAAACTCCCCAAGACGAACTTGGGCTGCTTGGTAATTGATAAGTGAGGGAATTGGTGACTTGTTTTGGTCCCCTGCTCGAGGCTTCCTGGGAGGAGAAGTTGAAATCCACTCCCTGATTCAGGTCATCGCCTGAACCAGTGCAGACTTCAGGCTGATTGAAGGCGTTTTTGGTGTTCATGATACTC